ACTCGAAATGGAAGTAATCCCAACAATGATTTACAATTGTCTACTTTGTCCTGCTGCGTTCAGTGTGCCAGGGTGAATAACATGCGTGATGAAGCTAAATTTGCCAAAAAATGGCACATTTTGACGAGTGGAATGTAAACATGTCAGAAGTTTTTGATAGGTTGGGAGTTGGATAAGACGGTAAGGAGTAGATAGATGAGCCAGGACAGAAAGAGAAGTTATAATACCCTTGTTTCGGCAGACATGGGATTGATTTCACTTATATCTTTGACGAGTTGTATCTTGGTGCTGAGAATGGTAAGTCTCGCTGACGATGCCAGTGAAAGATCGGAGAATGTACTAAGTCCACTGTACGACGCTTGAAAATATGATATCTAGTATAGCTGAGGACTTCGGGCAAGATGCATCCAACGCACCCGACCAATTTTCTAATACGCGATCAGCCCATTTCTTTAATATATTTATGTCTGGATAAGTATGGTTAATATTGTGTATTTACGCGTTTACGTAGTAAATCTTCTCTCTAACTGGACATTGTACTTTATCCCTTGCCAAGGTGATTTTTTACTTTTATGTGAGGACTCCGATCGTTATCTTATTCCTCATGCCTTGATACACTAGTATAATTTAAACTGGACCCCATTAAACTTCTGATTGATTCATTTATAAATTTTCCCACGGATATGCATTTTTATGATTTAATAGAATCAATTTTATTCCTTAAACTTGTTATCAGATCACGATGATCGTGATGACCTGGGTTCGGATAGATCGAGTGAAGAAAATTTAATCAGCGAAGAGCTGGATGACTCTGATGATGAGATAGCCATTGCTGACACTGAACTTTCTCAACGGGAAACCACTTTCGATATTCGTTCGTTTATACTGAAATTCGCACATCCACATGTCATCCGCGCCTACACGTGAGGTTTTCATTATGCTTTATAGCTTTATTTTATCCTTTGTATATGCACACTACTCCTCTAAACAGGCTCACTTTTTTCAATTATCCTCATTGGGCAAGATAGAGCGTGCTCCAAGTATTTTCCTCTAGAGATACAAACCCTTATTTGTAACAAGGATTTTCAGTTAGGGACCTAGATTTAGGTCTATAAGAATGAGGCTCAAATTAATAAATCTGCTATTTAGTTGGCTATTGATAATAAACATTTATTTCATATTAAAATTAAGAAAATCCGATATGTTTAATGGCACTACTAAATATTCTATTACTACTTAAAAAAACTAATTCAATAAACTTAAATTGACTGTAAAAGCAAACGTAATGACTTATGTAGAAAAACTGGTTTTCTAAGGTCCCTTAATAGATTAGCGTTGGAGGGATGGATGTCGACACAAACATAGGGGACTCTCAAACATAAAACAGACTGCAAAAGTTTACGAGTACATAAATCATAATAGGAGATCAGATAAGGTGGTCTAAAATCCCAAGTTGTGCCAGATGTTGAAACTTTACAGTTGAGATAGTAATTCTTAAGGAGACATTAACAAAATAGCCAACATCCAGAATACGAGGAAAGAGTGTATTTAGTCAATTAATTAGGAACTGCAATTTATGGTGGATGGAATAAAAATGAAGGGCATGACGAACCACAGAAATAAAGTATTGAGCTTGATTAGCCCGATTGTGGTTTTGTCTAGCATCGCGGTTGTCCCATAGGCAGTATTAGCACATGAAAAAACATGTTACCGATGAATCTCTTGAAATAACTTTGTTGAGGAGACTTTAATTTCGTATGAAAATGCATGACGAA